AAAAAAAAAAAAAAAAGTTCCTCCTTTAAAACTCCAGGTGGAGGTCTGTGAGAAAGCAAACACTTCTTCCCACTCTCCCTATACCCCCACCAGAAACACCGGAGGCTCTGGATTTCCAAATCCTAAACTTAAGTCCTTTAAATCAGGGATTCTCTACCTTTTTCCTGTTCTTCCATAACATATGCCTCCACTAGATTCCAAATCTCCAGACTCAGGCCTCTGAGATCTGCACTATAGAAGTTTTACAGCAACTGACTTGCAATGGTGATTTGGGAACAACTACATTAGACTCTCAACTTTAAGATATAAATTTCTATGAGTTGAAATATTTTTTTTCATTTAAATATTTACAAAAGTTTATCTTGAGGGATATCAAGCAAATCTGTAATAGATTTTTGATGTTAAGCCTTTGGTCACAAACATAATCCGTAACCACAACAATGATTCTTTGAGCAAAGGCAATGTACACTTAAGAATTACTTTACAATGTGATTTCCAGAAATGAATTGTAAATAAGGAGACTGCCAGTGGGGATAAAAAAAATTTTTCTACTATCCATAGTAACATTTACTTACTACAAAGATAGCTGCAAAGACAACTTAGTACAGGTGATGCAGAAAGTCTGACCGGATAAGAGGATGCGGACATTCTACAGAACAGCCGGCTAGAGCCTCTAACCACAATCGAGGCCACTGGACACGAGGAAGGTCTAAAGAACTGCCCAGACCAGAGAAACGTAGGAAGATATGATGACTGTTGTGTCCTAGAGAGTATCTTGGAAAAGAAAAATAACAGTAGTGGAAAAACTAGTGAAATCTTAAAAAAAAAAAAAAAAAAAAGTCTGAATCTAGGTAACAGTAAAGTACCAATAACAAGTTCTTTGTGGTGATTATCTATTTGCCATGATCTACAAGGTGTTCACAATGGGAGAAACTAGCTGATAGTATTTGAGAAATGTTTGTATTGTCTTTGCAGCTTTCTTGTACCTCTAAAATTAAAAATATATATTAAAGAATAAATACATTAGCAAAGTAAATTGACCTTATATTTCTAAGACTATGTGATAATTTATAGCCTGTTCATAATTCTTCTGTGATTTGAGAAGCAAAAGGAACACTACAAAATGAAAGCTCTCCTTTCCATGTGCTACATTTTCCAATTCTACCCCAGCTTCCCTTTCTACCACCTCTTTACTCTAAGCTAGATCCGAGAACCCTGAGGTCAATGACCATACTATCTATCCCTGAGTAGAGATCAGGATAGGTAAATAATCTAATCTCAGCACTGACCTAATTTAGTTTTGTCTCTTATCACTGTCTCAATAAATCATCTACAAATGATTGAACACTTTTTTTTGCTGGATAATTCACAGTGCCAATCTGGAGCCCTGTAAAGCATTTTATCAAAAAGGAAAATATTATTATGTAATTGACAACAGTGGCAGCCCCTCATTACACAGCTGTCATGAATTCTCTATACCTCTGTTGTGAATCAACTTGTTCAAAACACCAAGCTAACATCTATGCAAATTTTATTTTTCCTTTCTTTTTTGCAGTGGTGGGAACTGAACTCAGAGGCCACTGAGATATATTCCTAACTCTTTTTATTTTTTCATTTTCTGAGACAGCATCTTATTGTGTTGCTCAGGCTGACCTTGAACTTGTGATCCTCCTGCCTCAGCCTCCTGGGTAGTGGGATTAACAGGCATGTACCAACTTGTCCAGCTATACTCAACTTTGAATATTCTTGAGTCTTTCTTAGACACCCAGATAAATATTTAGCCATATCCTTACACCTGAATGTTTCTGGTGTCAAGTCTGAAGAATAAACACAACATCCAGTAGCTGGCCAAGTTATTTAATAATGATAAATTCAGAACACTTAGTATGACTATGTGAATATGTAAAGATGAAACTCATGCCCTTTTGAGAAAGGGTTAATTAGTAAATACAAGGTAGCATTATCCAAGCACATACCTAGTTATCAGGTACTGTAATGCCTCATCAAATACAATATCTCATTTTAGTTCTGAGAATTCAGTTCCATCCAAATGACCAAAATATTTATGTGTCTATTTGATGCTGAAATAAAACTTTTAGAAAAACAGCTATGTTTTTCAGTTGAAAAGTAAAAGTTGAATTTGTGTAAAGGACAGCTAAGATGAACCTGATACAATGAGTCCCCTATTTTCTGGCATGGTTGGAAAATGAGGTTAATCACATATTCTGGCTTATAGGGAGTTACCATAGAGACCATGCACATATTATCCATTTCCAAGAATAAAAGAAAGATAATATACACTCAAAACTGAAACGACACCGAATGTAATTTAATTTTCCTCTGATGAGTCAGACACACTTGATGATCCTGCAGTACCTCAGAATAATCATTGTGAACATCATCAATTATCTATGTACCCTATTTATATAGAAGTGCTAGTTAATGGAGCTTTTCCATTAGCAGAAATTTGAATAATACAAAGGTTTTCAGAACTTAAAAACACATGTAGGTTGAAATTGTTGCAAATTCAATATAATAACCTATCGCATTTGCAAATAGATCTGATCAACATAATGACAGTATTGATGGGGTTATGGAAGGACCAGGAAGGTGCATTTGGTCTTAAACTAGACAGGAAATTTTATTTTGCTTGTATATTAGAGTAAAACATTGCAAAATTCTAGTCACAGGAATCAAAATAATTTTGATGGAACTATTCTTATTCTCATATATATGGTTAAAAAGGGTAAAATGGTAAAAGTCTTAAATGATAAAAGTCTTTAAAAAATGACAAAAGTCTTTTTTCTCTTCCCTTAAAACTTCATTAGCAGAGTTTTAATTATTTACAAACATTTTCAAGTTTCCCTGCTTATTATAGTAGTTTTGTATTCTATAATTTTAGAGCAATGTTAGCTGAATACCAACCTTGTTTCATGGGTTCACAAAGCACACATAAAATGGTCTAAGAATTCCCATAGCTTAAAAAAACAAGCAAAACCTGGTTTCCAAGTATATTTGACTGTTTCATTTCCTTTTTTTTTTTTTTTTTCTGGTACTGGGGATTGAACCCAGGGGCATTCAACCACTGAGCCACATCCCCAGCCGCCCCACCCTTTTTAAAATTTATTACAGATTGGAATTTCAGGTGTGTGCCACCATGTCCAGCTGACCATTTCAATTTTAAAGACTACCTATTAGTATTTCACTGACACTCTAAACAATGTAAGAAATATTAGTAAAAAAAAAAAAATAATAAGGAAAGCCAGTCTCAGTAACTCAGTGAGGCCCTAAGAAACTTAGCAAGACCCTATCTCAAAATAAAAAATGAAAAGGGCTGGGGATGTGGCTTAGTGGATTCAACCCTGGCATCAAAAAAAATATTCCTTTCATTTTAAAAATTAATGATAAGGTCATTCCCAATTTTCATCTCAAAAAGGCATAAGATATGGCTAAGTTGTGCATTATTACAATGTTCTTGAAATTTTACTAATGATGATCCATAACAGAAGGGTGACTGATCTWTAGAGAGCATAGAAATCTCTCTCATTCATTCACCACACCTAAATTTTGTGGAACTTAAATACTTAGTTCAACCTGGCATAATGTTTCCAAAAACCTCACATTTTTCAATGTCTAATTTTCCTCTACCATTGGAAAAAAAAAGACTTGAATTATTCTCTCTCTCTCTCTCTCACACACACACACACACAATCTATCCTTTGCTTATATGACCCTGAGTAAATGATGTTAGAGAACTGTAGGAAGATATTTATAACATATTTGAATTTCCAAAGTATTTTGGGCAAGTTCATCTAGGTTGACTGTTTACACTATCCATCTCCGTCATTGTTTAATCTTTAAATACTACATGCATTTTACCTGATTACAAAATAAGCACTCTTGATGGAAAAGGTACCCAGCCTGGTTTCCAGACACATTTTTAAACCATGTTTATTTTCATATTATAATCTAAGGTGTGTGGGTAGAAAGAGAGAAAGGGAGATTATTTTTGCATATACATTCCATTTACCTTGAAAAATAAGGAGGACCTCATAAGTCACCTTTGTGACTTTCAGCACTTTGGGCAATTGAATTCAAGTAATCTAACAGATGATTTTAAAAAAAATATTCTTAAAAATAAATGATAGCATGTGCTAGGGTTGTGGCTCAGCAGTAGAGCGCTCACCTAGCTCAGTGGTAGAGCACTTGCCTTGCATGTGTGAGGCACTGGGTTCAATCCTCAGCACCACATAAAAATAAATAACTAAAATAAAGGTATTGTAGCCAACTACAACTAAAAAAATAAAAACTTTTAAAATATGATAGCTTTACCTACTATTTTATATATCAAACTCTAGCTCTGAGACACAGAAAATTCCTCAGCCTCCCTTCCCATATACGTGTCCTTTTCACAGTCCTCCGGCAGGTTCTCTGACCAGATCTTCCAAAAGAAGAAAAGGTTTAAGATACTAAAATATGTTTATAGTTCATACTGAAACTGCTCATTTTGATATACAAGCAGACCACACACAAAAAAAAAAGAAAAAAGAAAAAAACCCTAAAAACCCTTTATCCTGAAAAAAAATTTAGATGACATAGGGCTATGATAATAAAAAGAATAAAAAAGATTAACAAAACCAAATAGTTCTAACATTCTAAAAATCCATCAGTTTGCAATGCTTTCGTACATGGTTCTCTTTTCATAATTAACTCATTTTTAAGCAAACATATATAATGGTTTATTATCAGTATTAATGTCTTAAACATTAAGGTGAATGCAGTCTTGTTTGGATTACTGAAGAAGAAAAATAATTTCCTGGAAGTATTTCTACTCTGTTTGTTTCAGGCTAGTAAGAATGCTAGCTACATTATCAATGAACTTTTTGTATTGTCTCTTCCAATTATAAACAAAAGCAAAATCAAGGAAAGCTCTGGTCTTTATAGACATTAGTAAGTATATATGGGCACTTTAGTGGCTCTGGCTCTGAGGCAGTACTTACTGCTGTGTTTGCATCAGGGGCATGTTCGTGCTATCGTAGCTGTCTGTGTGTAGAGGAGGAATGATCTCCCCAGTTACCGGGTGAAACACAGGAAGCGTCGACAGGGGCCATGCAATCTCTCTGTTCTTGGACATATCTCGTAGCTCCTTTGTAGATTTCTGAATAGCACTATGATGGACCAATTGGATGCTATGTCAAAAGAAAAGAAAAACAAACAACAACATATATTTAAAATCACATATTAGCCTGATACTTCATCAATTTAAAAAAAGTTATAAAAATGCTTTTTCTTCTAAAATAACAAGACATTATTGTTCTTTGGGCATTTTATACATCTCACATACTTTTAACAGAGCAGAACTGAAAATTACAAACTGATTCTGAAGTAATCTCAAATTAAACTAATCTATGAAGCACTGTGTTCATATTACAGCCCTTAGTAACAAACTAGTTTTCTATTTAGTTTCTATGATTAAGATACAACTACAATAACTTTTATTTTGTGGCTTCTGGTGGGGCATTTATAAATACTCACAGAAGTTTCATTTTATAGTAGGTTATTACTGTAGATTCAGGAAAACTTGTATGAAAGGTCTTTTCGTCTGTTCTCTGGTTTATAGAAATGCAGATTGGGAAATCACATAATATAAATGGCAAGTTAATATTCTGAATCTGAAGTATTTTAGGTTTAACTTTTTATCTAGGTAAGCTTAGTTTTCAAACCCTTTTTATGTTTAGTTTCTCTCCCTCCTAAATATCTCTATTTAGAAAGCAGCTTTCACATTCATAAAATAAACTATGAAAGATGATGAATGAAAAAAAAAGCATGACACACATGTATGGAGCATGATGGGCAATGGAGAAGTGGAAAAAATGATAAGAACAGGAAAGAAGACACTTACTCTGGTGTTTGCATGTTTCTCTTTTCCCTAGAAACAAAACAAAATTTATGAATTAAATAATAGCATTGATATTTGGAACATTAAGACTATATGCTCATGGAATCTTGCATGACGTGGAAATGCTGACAGTGTTACTTTTAAATGCAACCAGGCAGCATTTGCCACCAGGTTTATGATATTACTTGGATGAATACACACACAGCGATGGAATACTGATGAGAAACACACAGAAAATGAAAAAAAAAATGGAGATTAAGAATCAAGCTCTTGATTGAAATAAATTCTATGACATAATGAAATCAGGCTATATGTAAAAATGGAAGAACTTGTTACTTGCTGCTTTATTAATTTTTTATCCTTTGCTTTGTTACCCTGACTTCCAGATAATCTCAGGAGGTTACCTTAATTGACATAGATGTCCTCAAAGTACTAACTATTCATGAAGACTCATTACTCAAATTTTAGCTTATTTTTCTTAATTAACTCCTAAACTGTTTTTTTTTAAATATATTTTAAGCATTTAGATTGTGACACCCTGTTTGACAGCAGAATGATTTCAAGAATGCTGACCATCACTCTGATCAAACTAAGACAATTCGTTTATTTAAAGTGCCATTACCATGTCAATAGATTCCACTGTCTCTGCTCACAAAAGATGGCTTGTGTAACCAAAGTATCTAGTCTCAATTATTCTTGGGACTGTTTTGCCAGCATGAATTTATATCTAGCCTTAATAATTTTTGAATAAAGTAATTATGGGCCCTAATTTGGTTTACTAGACTCAAAACTATTTTAATTCATTTTAAAGGAATAAAGTACTACAGTTTGACTTGAACACAATTTCAATTCATTTATAAAGTATTATATGAACTAAATGAAACTTTGCTCTTAATGGAATCATCTAGGTTGCTATCTTAGCAGGCTCTCTAATTTTTTTATTAGTGTTTTAAAGTACTCACACGCCTTCCCGTCGGCAGCACATGATATAAGCAAGTATTAGAAAAAGGACCAGTGCTACTGCCGAGGGCACAGCCAGTGTAATTAGGAAATCCGTGTAATAGTCTCTGCTTTTCAAAGAATCAGAAGGGGGTTTGTACTCTCCACCATCAGGCAAAATCCCCTCTCCACGAATCACTTCCTGATAAGTGGACACTTGCTTTGTTTTATCAACCTGATACAAAAGAAGACAATTATACCCCAAATTAATAGCTGCAAACATTAATGAGATTTTTAAGATCTAGACACACCAAAACATTCTTTGACAAATTACCTTAAAAAGCCATCTTTTCCAATTATGTTATCACCTTGAATTTCCAATTATTTATTGGAGTCAGGGAGAGATAATGAATGAAAGTAATAAAGGCTTTATCTTGGCCTATTTTCTGCATAATTCTCTCAACATATATACATTTGCTTCACGTATAGACATACATAATAAATGTATGTACATGTGTGTGTAATTTTCTGTTTCCTCCAAAGCAGAAGTTCTTTACAGTACTGTGTAAATTTCTTGTTTTTTAGTGACAAACCTCAGTGCAGATGTTAACAAACCACAAAATGGCTGATGAACTGGTATGAAGGTTTAGTTTCTAGGGTCAATCAGTGAAAGAGAGGAAGAGAAAAGAAAAACAAAAAGGATAGTTTCCCAAACTGTTCTTGATCTTTCTGCAACCCAGCTGACATGTTTTTAGAAAAGATAGTTATGGAATATGAAACCCTTCCAATGCTATAGTTTTACTAAATTCTATCCGAGGATCCAAGAAATGCAGACTTGCATTATGTTAATTTACCTCCATGTTAATGAAACTGCTTTCACAACAGAGTTGTATTTAATGATAGTATGGTTTTTAGTAAAGGGTGTTAAAAAGGTACCTGTGTAAAATCGGTTGCAGCATTTGCTACCAGAAAAAAAATGTTGGGGAGAATTATTTATGGCATTACTTAATATCCTTTCCCAAAAGAGTACACTTGAAGAATTTTGTTAATAATGCAATGCTTTATTTCTGCCAAGGAATTGATGTTCTGTGTCCTTCTTAAGAATGGAAACTAAATAACTGATGAATTTCCTTTTTTAAAAAATATTTTTAGTTATACATGGACACAGTATCTTTATTTTTTTTTAATTTATTTTTATGTGGTGCTAAGGATCAAACCCAGTGCCTCACATGTAAGAGGCAAGTGCTCTGCCACTGAGCCACAACCCCAGCCCTGAATTTCCTTTTTTTTATCCTGGACACTAGTATACTTGTTTTCAAACATGACTTTACTATCTATTATAAAGTTTAGGTCCCAATATTATCATTTTTAAATTCTCTATTTATTATATTTATTATATGACTTTTATTTAAGCCTTCTGAAATCTTTTGTGGCATATAAACAACTACATGTAAAATTAAAAAATGAAAATTCCCAACCTTTCCATTATCGTAAAAACTAAAATCTTCAAAACATAAGTCATTTTTAAGCTTTCAGAAATCAGATAATATTCCTACACATAGGCTCATGTTACAACCCCAAGTAAAATAGCATTGCTAGGGTCTGCCTCTGACTTTGTTGAGAGGAATCTATTTAAGTTATGATAGCAGCTGCTCAGTCCTTCACACCCTTGTATGTTTAGCACCATGACTGAGTTTTTCAAACTCAATATTTGCCTCTAATGCACATAAACCATAGCAAGAGAACAATTTAATTTGATTTAAGAAGGTAAAGGGCATTATTTCTCTAAGATGCCAAGGACATGAGAAGAGTAGTTCAGGGCAAAAGGCCACAGGGAGTGCTAAGTATTGCAACGTGAGTAACATGTTCTCCAGTACTGGAGCCTGGCAAGCTGCCTGCAGTGGGCTCTCTAAGACATGAAGTGACAGTTGTGTTTATGTGTCGATAACTTTGTTCAAATGTCAACTTTAAACTTAGATCTAATTCATTCTCTGCCAATCATAAAGAGCTGACAAAAGTTAAATCTAAAGGTCACAAACAAATTAAGACAACTGTGGTACCTCTCAGCAGGATCACAATATTATAAAGAGATATACAAAAAATACAACTAGTATACACATATAAAAGTATTTATATATACATATTTATATAGATATAAAACTTCACATTTTTCTAAATCTTACAGCATGCAAATTAAAAAGTGGTATAAAATATAAAAATATTTGATGTTAGTAAGATACTAACTTTCCTCACTTGGAATTGTTTCTTGAACCTTAAACTTTTCACACAATTTGTGTTTCCAGGACACTGAGAGCATAATATTGGCTTACTTTCAGATTTATTATAGTACTCCATTCTCTCCCTCCAAAGTAAGGTAGTGGTAGCAAATTTCAGAAGAGACTTTTACACAAACCATGCTGACTCCATAAGCTGTGCTGATTAACAGCAACCTGCAAGTCCAACAGGTTCATTTGGACCACCTGTCAAGCTAATTCAACCTCAGCAACTATTCAAAGGTAAAGTGAGAACAATAATGGAGATACTCTTTCCTAAATGGAGGCAGTGTCAACGAATTTACCAAATCCTTAAAGTCAAGCAAGTCCATTGCAGTTAACAAAGTAAACACAGGATTTGTTTCTAAAAGCTATTCAGGTTTTAGTCAAACATTGCGTCCAGCCACATCCCTCCGAACTACATTTGCAAAAATAAAAGTAAGCAAAAACTCACCAATGAAATTTTGCACCAGTCAATGTAAAATTGAGTACGAAATTTTTTATCACAAGTTATTACAGGCTCCATTTCTTGACTGCATCTCAATTGATTCTGTGGATTTTCAACTTCTCGTAAACAAGAAGAAAATGGGACATCGGCACCAACCATGACATAAACACTGTAAAAATGTGAAACTCTAAAGTTATCCTTTAAGAAAATTGAAAACACTGAAAAACAATCTCCCCTGAAAGCAGGATTTATCCTTTTGAATTGAGGGATTAACTAGAATCATCCCTAAGGTAAGAGCCTAGGCTTTAAAAGCAGTGATTCATGTAGGGGCTTCCTTTCAGTCATTCCTCCATTCAACCAATATTTACTGAATGCCTTGGTGTACCAGATACTGTCTGCATTCTACATTAATTTCCAGAAATTTTATTTCATCCTTTGTATTTCATTCAAAATAGTCGTGGTCATATTCTGACTACTATATTTCATAGACTACTTACATTAAAAATATTCTTAAGCTGGATTGTTTAGAAAATTAACTATCACTAAAATAATAAATAATTATAAATAAAACATTTTTACTTGATTTCAATATATATAGTAAGATTGTGAAATGGCATCCCTGGAGATACTAGGCTCCAATCATGCTTTGTTATTCTACTCAACCATCCTGTCCACTTTTACAGTACACAAACCCCTAACACTTGGTCTCTTGTTATGAGACCTTCTCTAAATCATTTATCTAAAAACTTAAGAACTGTTGTTTGGTAATTACAAACAAGAAAAACAAAGTTTATATTTTTGGTGTGTATCTTAGCAATGATGACGAAAGAACTCTACTTAAATGACATGATTTCATAATAAAACAGAATGTAGTTAGCAGTAGCATTTAAATAATCTTGGAAAAGTTTGAAAATATGGAATCTCACTTGCCACTCAAAGGAAAGAAAAAAACAAGAAATTACTCCAAATAAATATTATTTATTTTCTTAATGTTTATAGCTAATTATAAAATGAAATAAAACTATTAAAATTGTAGCTATCCTTTTTGCAGAAATTTACAAACTTACCCTAAAATTCACATGAAAATTTCAAGAAACCCAGAGTCGGCAAAAAAAAACCCAAAAATGTGACTAAGAAAAATAAATTTAGAGGACTCATAATTGATGATTTTAAAACTTACACAAAGCTACAATAATCAAGACAGTATGGCACTGACATAGAGACAGACATGATCAATGGACTAGAATTCAGAGTCTAGAAATAAACTCTAGTATTTAGTAAACCAATTATCATCACAGATACCAAAACAATTCAGTGGGGAAAAATTTTTTTACAACTAATGGTGCTAGAGAAACTACATATTCATGTACAAAAGAATGAAGTTTGACTCCCTATCTCACACCACATATACAAAAATAACTCAAAATAGATCAAAGAAGACCTCTGGTTTCTGATCCAGTAAATAAAAAGCTTGGAAGGTACTATACCATACTAACAACAAGTTTTTAAAAACTGAACAAATTGAAAAATAAACAATTATTTTTAGATCTGTAGGAGAAGAGAGTTCACAAGGCAAATGGCTGCCCCTAAATTTGGAGACACCAATAGGCAAATACAGAGAATCATACTTTACTGTAGAAGAATCTTGCAAGTTAAAACCTCTGGAGAACCAGTGCTAGGGTAGGAAAACCTGAACTATAATTGACAGAGGCTCATTGTAGAAAAGTCTGACAGTTAAAACTCCAGAGGAATCCAGTTATTGGAAGCCCCTTTCCCTCAGCGACACATAGACACACCTATGTGAGTTTTATCTCCAGGAGCTCTACCAGGTTCTTATTCTAATATTCACAATCTGCTTTTGCTTTCAGCAGGAGGAGAAGAAAAATGTATTATGTATTAAAATACATAAAATCATTCTGTTCTTCTTAACAAGACTTGTCTTTAAGAGAAACTTACCAGAGACTAACCTGCTAGGGATATATTAGAGCCTAACTGGCTGGGGAAGAGAAATAACCAAATATGACCAGCTCTATCCTTCCACAAAGAGAAAGGTAAATGCCCAATTCCAGGCTACGTCAGCCATTCTGTCCAACATAAAGTGTAGTTTACATGAGAGGCCCGGGTGATAGTCACAGTTCAGAGACATAAGCTCATTAAAAGACTGAGAAATAACCCATGACTATAGAATGGTTCCCTGCCACCACATCTCATTACCAAAGGCAGTAATTTATTTCTATTTACCCAACATTAGTCCAGTTATCAAGAAAAAAAATTACAAAATTTACTAAATGCATAGCTTGACGGGACTGAATAAGCATCAGAAACACACTCTCAGAGATGTCAGGAATGCTGAGGTCATCAATATGAAATCAGAACAACTACTACTAATATGCAAAGAACTCTAATGAGTAAAGTGGCCCGGCCTTGTAAGAAATGTTAAAAGAAGTTGGTTAGAGCGACAGAAAATGATATAGGTCAGAAACTCAGAATGCTTATAAAGAAAAGTGGGGCATCAGAAAAGGAATAAGTGAAGCTAAAATGAAAACTTTTGTTTTTATTATTCTTAATTGATACAATAGACAATAACTTGTTCAAAATAATAATAGCAACAATAACTCTTATATATAGCTAAGTGTGTATGGGTGCTTATATATAAACAAAATGGTTGAAAGCTATGTTACAAGAGATGTGAGGGAGGAACAGGGAATATTTTATTATTGTAAAATACTTGTACTATCATGAAGTTTTACAGTGTTACCTGAAAGTGGACTTGGATTAGTTGTACATACATATTGCAAGTTCTAAGGCAACCACTAAAAAAGGGAGAAAAAGAAGTACAATATGTAGGAGGAGAAAAAATGGCTAAGACTGGAGGATTGAGAGTTCAAAGCCAGCCTCATGCTAACTCATTGAGACCCTGTCTCAAAAAAAAAAAAAAAAAATAGGGCTGGGGATGCTGCTCAGTGCTTGAATGGCCCTGAGTTCAATCCCCAGTAACAACAACAACAAAAAAATCCCAATTAAAATTTAAAAAAGTAGAAAACAAAAATATGAAAACGAATAAGGGCAACTAATAGAAATATAGTAGATAGTAATTTAATTAATAGTTATTTTAAATAGCAATGGTCAAATTCACCATTTGGGACAGATTGCCAGAGATTTTAAAAACAAAATACAATTATATGTTGTCTATAAGAAATCTATTTTAACTATAAAAACACACCAATGAAAGTACATGGGTGGAGAAAGATATGGCATGCTAGCACTAATCAAAAGAAAGTGGAAATGAGGCTGGGAATATAACTTAGTAGTAGAACATGCACTTATTATGCACTGGGTTTAATTCTAAGCACAAAACCAACAAACAAAAGGAGGAATAGCTATAGCAAGGAAAGTTGTCATGGGGGAAAAACGGGTATTACCTACTAAAAAAGGCATCAATTCTCCAATAACATAAAACAATCCTTAATGCATTTTGTTAAATAATAGACCGTCAACATACATGAGTCAAAAACTGATAAAAACTGCAAGGAGAAATGGATGAATTCACTATGATAGAGATTTCCATATTCTTCTATCAGAAAGAATACTGCTGGACACAGCCAGCAGGTGGAAAATCAGTACACACATAGTTAAGCTCAACATCATCTATTAGATTAAACAGATATCCATAGAGTATGCCATCTAATAACAACAGCAACAAATATTCTTCCCTAGGTCACATGGAACATTCACCAACATTCTGGGCCATAAACACACCTAAAAAAATTGAAAAGAATAGGTAGCATGCAATATCTGCTCACAGATCCTGGCAGAATTAATTAGACATTAAGATCAAAAAATAACTAGAAAATTCTAAAGTACTTGGAGATTAAGCAAACACACTTCTAAATACACATGTATCAAAGAAGAATCTTAAGAGAAATTTTTAAATATTTTGAATTAAATGAATTGAATGAAAATAGAACCAAAATATATCAAAATTTGTGGAATGCAGCAAAAGCAATACTTGGCAATGAATTATGGCATAGAAAGTATATATTAGAAAAAAGAAAGACCTAAAATCAATTAGCTAAGCTTTTAGCTTAGGGAACTAGGAAAAGAACAAAAGGTTAAATCCAAAGTACAGAGAAGAAACAATAAAATTAGAGAAGGAAGTTGGGCATAGTGGCACASGCCTATAATCCTAGAGACTTGGAAGTCTGAGACAGGAGTAATGCAAATTCAAGGCCAGCCTCAGCAATTTAGCAAGGTCCTAAGCAATATAGTGAGACACTGTATCAAAATACAAAATACAAAAGGCTGGGGATGTGGCTCAGTGGTAAACTGCCTCTGGGTTCAATTTCACTATCAAAAAGAGAGAGAGGAGAGAAAGGAAAATGGGGGGGGATTAATTAAACTGAAACAGCTAGTTCTTGGGGGGGGCAATAAAACTGATAAGCCAGGAAAACTGGAAAGAGAGAGCATTTCTAATACCAAAAATAAAGGACAGACATCATTAGAGATATTATGGGTATAAAATAATAATCAAAAAATATCATGAACAACTCTATATCCACAAAGTTGATAATTCAGATGTAATAGAAAAATTCCTTGGTAGAAACAACCTGTCAAAACTCATACAAGGAGAAATAGACAATATTTACAGGTTTTATCAAGTAAACAAATTGAATCAATAATTAATGAGCTTCCAAATAAAAAAGAACCAAGCCTAGAGGGGTTCATTATTGCATTCTTCCACATGTTTGGAAGAAACTGCGCAAATTCTCTAAAATCTCCCAGAAGATTGAAGTCAAAAGAATATTTTCTACACCATTTTTTTTGGCTTAAACAACATAAATTTATTTTTCATAGATTTAGAGTCTGGAAAATGTGAGACGAGGGTTCTACACCATTTTTAATACTAAAATCAGACAAAGACATTATAAGAAAACAAAAGACCAATACCTCTCATGAAAATAGATACCAAATTCTCAACAAAATATTAGCAAATTGAGTCCAATTTTGTTTAAAAGAAATTATAAACAATGACCAAGGAGTTACGCAAGGTTAGTTCAATAATTGAAAATAGATCGATATGATTTATCAGATTAATGGAATAAAGAAGGAAAAACACATGATCTTATTAGTAAATAAAAAGAATTATCTATTAATTAAGAATTATCTATT